AAAGGCTCAATGATTTTCGAACCACCATCCTCAAAAATATCTTCCGTACACACCTCCACATCGAATTCCGACTTTCCGGCGTACCTCCCACAACCACAAGTCGGCGCCCCCCTCAACTCCCCAACCTACACCACCCCTCTTATACCTACCACTGCACAAGTGGTAGTCATCCGGTTTCAGGGGAAGCCTTAGGTGTACGGACAAAGGTTATAGGGACTGGAATGGTTGACCACGTCAACGGGGATGCGGCAGATCATACTACGCCCACCCTATCGGAACATTCGCCTGCCCAAGTGGAACAGTCTCGGAGCACAGAGGCAACCGGCACGGATGCACTCGTAATGGTGGTTCACCCCGCCGTGAAAAGTTCCGACGCCGTGGTTGAGAACCAGTTGTCCCGCTCAAATAAGACGCCCACATCTTTGAACGCTAATCAAACATGCCCCAACAAAATTCCCACCCCAGCAGTGGAACTCGAGTTTACGTCAGGCTTCGTAACAGCGTTCTTAGACTCTCAGGCACAAAAATCATATGTAAGCCCAATAATTGCTCGTAAATTCGGAACCATCATAAATGGACAAGCATCATTAGTTCGAACGGCGGACGGTCACACCACTTCAACCAGTGGAACTGCTGCTTTCGAGACAAAAATCGGTGACCTCCATATTTCTTTCTCGGCCACCATTATGGATGATTTATACTGCGACGTCCTACTAGGACATGACTTTCGTTGAAAACGAAGTCTTCTGGGATTACGCCGCATGTACCATTCACCTCGGCGCGCGGAGGAGAACCACTGCGTGTTGGAAAGGCCGTGCAAGTATCCCCCTCACAGTTCCCGACCTATCAGCCCTGGAAATCTCCGGCGACCTGGAATCCCGCGCGGAACTTCTTAAAATCATTGAAAAGTACGCGGATGTATTCAACGATAGGATAGGCCGGACTAAGCTAATAGAACACGACATAATTTAAAAAAAAAATACCCCCATCGCACTCAAACCGTACTCCTACCCGTTCGTTAAACAAGCCATCATTGATGATAAAATTAGGGACATGGAATCACAGGGACTAGTGGAACCAAGTATTTCCCCATGGTCAGCCCCGGTCGTCTTAGCTAAAAAAAAGAATGGATTCCTCCATCTTTGCATTGACTACAGACGGCTGAACGACGTAACCGAGTCTGAAGCGTACCCGATGCCAGATTAAAACAAATTAATTAGGCAAATGAGAAGGGCGAAAGTATTTAGCGTACTGGACCTTAAGTCAGGATACTGGCAAGTACCGCTTAACCCGAACGCTAGGAAATATTCAGCATTTCGGACTCGCAGGGGGAAATATCAATTTAGAGTACTACCCTTTGATCTCAAAAATAGTCCCATGACATTTGTACGGCTAATGAACGAAGTTCTACGTGATTATCTGGACGAATTCGTTCAAGTTTACCTGGATGATATCGTTATCTTTTCCGAAAATCTGGACGAACGCCGATACCATCTGGACAAAGTTCTCGAACAATTAATGCGATTCGGATTGACTTGCCATATCAAGAAATGTAGGATCGGATCCACCGAAATTTCATTTCTAAGGCATTTGGTCGACTCGGAGGGTATTCACAAACAACCAGAGAAATTGGAGTGCATCAATAATTTTCCGGTACCAAACAAAATTAGGGACTTACGGAGGTTCTTGGGGATATGCAACTGGTATAGTCCCCCGCGTGTAACACCAGAAGCGCCCCCGATCATACGGACAGTTATGTCCTAACAGATGGCCTCCTGCGAAGGAACGTAAAGGGACACACATAAGTCGTCATACCTCGATCCCGATCACAACATATGGTTTGACGGTATCATGACCACATCATCGAAAGTTACCTGCGGTGGAAAGAGACGTACAGGGAAGTCAAGGACCGTTTTTACTGGAAAGGTTTAAAAAACGACGTGAGGTTGTATGTGAGGTCATGTCACATATGTGCATGTACCAAACCTCTAAACTCACGACCGGATGAACCTATGTCCACCCGCAAACCCAGACAATCCTGGGAGGTAGTCAGTATTGACCTAATAGGCCCCTACTCTCGTACGAACAGGGGGAAGTCGTACATTCTGGTCGCCATCGATTGTTTCAGTCGGTGAACCGAAGCATACCCGCTGGGAACGTCCACTACGAAAACCATTGTCGATACTCAAGAACGTGAATTTTTTTCACGTTTCGGATACCCCCGGATCTACCTTAGCGACAACGGCCCTCAATTCGTGCCGAACGAGATGCTCAACGCGCTTGAACGATGGAGGGCACAAGGTTGGACCACTCCCATTTATCACCCGAGAACCAACCAGGTCGAACGCCGAAATCAGGACCTAAAAAAGGGACTCCGAGCAGCGCTGATCGACGACAAACATAGCACCTGGGACATGAAACTAGCCCCTATTCTATACGCGATTCGAAACGGCCGCAACGTGTACACGGGAATACCCCCCCTCTCGGTACTGGCACTCGGAAAAGAGTGCAAAAGGCCTGGGGACTGGGAACTTGTACACGAGGGCGTGCTGGAAAACGCAGTAGATAGCGAAAAGACAAGGAGGAACCTAGAAGTAATGGGTGAACCGGGTAAGGACAGAGGGACCGTGAATAGCAAATTTACGGAAGGGGAACTGGTATATTAAAAGCCCACCACCTGTCCAAAGCACATCTAGGGTTCCACGCGGGATTCGCACTTAAATGGTGGGGAATAGTCATATTGGAAAATCGAATCGGAAAATTTAATATTTAAATATTTCCGACTGATCAGCTGCCACCCCGGACAATCCAGGTGTCATGCCTGAAACGCGCAAATCTATTAACGGAACCCGATAATAGACAAGATTCATTTCAGCACCAACTTCATGGACGGGAGATGGACGATGTCGGTGGAAGAGATTAAAAGGGCGACGATAGCGGCCCTAAAAGCCGACTCAATATTGTGGGCGGCTTATTGTAGGGGGAAGGCGGACCAGGCGGCAGAGGTACGCCAGTACCTAAAACCAACACCAGCGAGTCACCGTCGATGATGGATCCGTGGCCGAATCCAGCCTCGCAACCGCGGCCGACCCCAGGCTCACAACCCTGGACAGTTCCCGCCCCGGAAAAAACTCAAATCGCGGATTCAACAATTCGGTGGGTGAGACCGGCCCCAGGGTTGCTACTACACCCATGCTGGCCAGCGGCGGATCCACATCCGCCAACAACGGAGTGGGCGGGTATACCGTCGAGAGTGGCATATCAGGACCGGCTACCATCACCATCGCCTGTGCCGCCGAAGACGAAACCGGGGCCCCTGGAACCTTGGCCAACGCCGACGCCGACACCAGGCACAAGCAGGGAGTCAGCTCCAAGACCATCTAACAAGGCCATCCAGAAACGGAAGAGGGACGCGGAGCGCAGGACGGAATGCAGACGTCGCAAGTTGGCGGAGGTGCGGAAGAAGTCCCAAACTGGACGAGCCGGACCCAGCCAGCAGTACCGGATAAAAAAGCCGGCACGTGGCTCTCATCGCCAGAGCACCTCGGAGGGGCCCCTCGTCGGCGAGATGTCGGAGCCAGCAACATCCGGGTCGGAAACGCCCGCGAGGGCAGATTGACCGGAGGTTGCGAGCAACTCGGCCGACGCTCAAGAGTCGATGGAAGTCGACGATCGGGTGCTGGAAGACTCCGAACCGTTAAGTTAGGCGTTAGACTCCGAGTCTAAATTCACATCCGCATTACACATTATGACCTAGGCCCACTCTATCCCTACTGTACGTCTATACATCAGAGCGAGTTCTCGATTTTTACTTTTGACCACCCAAAGCACCAACTAGATTCACTTTGCAATTAGAAACCACCCTGGGTTTTAAAAATTGAAGCACTTTTACTGCCCCAAAACAGACACACACAAAAAAAATACACATATACTCGTATACTGAATAATATTTTATTAGCAGCTGTGTATCATTATTATTATTATACTGCTATAACTTTATGTAATTGATTTCTTATCGTCCGTATAATACTCATGGCTAAAATTCTCGGAAATCCGTATAGTGCACCTACGCACAGTCACACGTCAATATCTTTGCGATCGAAAAAGTATCAACTCCTACGCTGTAACGGAAGTCCCAAAAAACGGTGGAAAAATTCACTCAGTATTAAAGGATCGATTTTAATTTTGAAAACATATTTAAATTCATTATTCTGTTTTCTAGGTTATATGGGAAATGGATTTTCGATTTTTTCTATTGTTTCATTATTATAGTACCTAATTAATTTTCTTTTTTTCCAAAATTCACATTTACTTTATTGTTACTAAAAAACATAAAATAAAATATCAATTTCCTACATAACACACACAAGGAGTAAACATATCCAAACATTTTTTCAAAATTAAAATTGGACTTCTGAAAGTGTATTTTTTTTTCTTTCGCTTATTGATCTGAATGCACGAATAAACGACCAACTTTCAACCGCCTTAAGTAGGTATTAAAGTAAAATTGATAAAATTGTTTATTATAACTTTATTATTTTAAGCAACTGTTTAAAATACAATATTACATAATTATACGTTTAAAATTATGAGAATATGCAAAATTATTTCTCCAACATAATTACGACGTATGTTCAAAGTTTACATATATGACGCGCCATCTTATCTCTTTTTTTTCTTTTTTTATCAAATATATTCGGTTATGTACTAGTATTTGTAGAACATAAAAATTTAAAAATTTAAAAATAATTAAAATATTTAATTTTTATAAAATGTTAAAACTAAAAATTTATAGAAAACTTAAATATATTTTATATTACAATGATATGCGATAAACTATTGTAACGGACTGACTCAGTGAAAAAGTTTTTTTTTTTTTTAAATATTAGTAAATGTATATATTTTTTTTATTTTTAATAAAGTATTAGTAAATGTAGTATATATTTTATATCTCATTTATTGTTAGATAATATTATAGTGATATCGTGTGATGAATAATTTTGTTGCTCATCTTTCAATATCCATACATTTTCTTCATTAAAGTACCTACTATATATCTAAGTAGACGTAAAATACTATTAAATTTAATAACACATAATCTGAAAACTAAAATTGTCCTAATGCATAAAAAGTACGTTATAATATCAGATGACATAAAAATATATACATCAGGTTCAATATTTATATCACGAATAAATGTTCTACACAAAAATAAATTGGGAGCGCTTCGCTGCAGTGTGAATAAACTTAATGTAACACGCTGAACATAATATGCAATACACAACTAAGCTGTGCGATACATATTCATATAGATATCATGAATTTGTTTCCTTGGCAAATTGTATCCTTTTCACCGTATACTTAATAAAATATTGTATTAAATATGGATTTTTCCGTTATTTATACTAATCGCGTGCGGGATAAATCATAGAAGTTGTCTAAAAAGAAAAATATAAGAAAATATTAAGAATAAAATTGTTTATCATGATTGGCTAAATAAAAAAAAGTGAAACCATGAATACGTGTTTATTTGCCTATAAAGGTTGGTTATTGATATTTTAAATTCATTATACCAGTGTCTTCCGTGTGAAAGACAGTCAATTGTAATACAAGTAGTATTCTTTGTTCTCATTGTTTAAACGTTAAATCCTATCTTAACGGCAACATATATCAGGACAACGTACGGTTTGTTTCCTCACGAAGAAAAGCCAGAAAATATTGAAAAATATTCGTAAAAGCTTTGGGATTTACAAGAAGTATACTATAATGGACAGAGTTAAGGCAGAATGTTACCAGAACAACTTAAGACGCACAGGCCCATCAGTTCGATCCACTAATCGAAAGTTTAATGACGACCAGCATTTAGGGTCGTCAGAAAACCACCATTCGAGCGGAGGGTAAATATTTGATAAATAATTACATACATGATCGATTGACTGTGAAACAATAGGTTTGTCATAATAATGACGACTTTTGTTTAGAAACAACAAAGCACGGTCAAAACGACCTATTGGCAGACAATCCCAGCCCGGTAGTGGTGATACTACCAGACCATTGCCTTGTCCGCAGTCCTTGTGGCGTGGCGAGCCGAACAGAGTCCTAATCGTTTACGGATTGGAAAGAATGAACGTCAATTGCGATAAGGTTTTTAATTTGTTTTGTATTTACGGAAATGTTACAGCAGTGAAGATTTTGAACGGAAACCAAGTACTCGTCGAACTGCAGGACGTCGAGGCTGCTAAGAGATGTGTGTCCAAGTTGAACTTGATTCGGTTGGATAAAACTACAAATCTAAAAGTCAAGTGAGTGTCGTAAATTCCTACTGGGATTTCTTTACGTCGGGTTATGATTGAATGGCGGGGTAAGGGTAGGTTTCTCTTGATCCCCAATAAGATTATGGATTACGATAAACATTCGAGAAAGTGCGTATTACGCGAGTATATTGCAAGAACTATAATCATCCCGAATCACCTCAAACAAAAGGTGGCGTAAATATGCTTATAAACAAAAATCATAGCATATAGGAAAATCATAAAATCATAGAACATCGCATCATGTCTGTCGTCGCTGTTTTAGGTATTCGAAACATTCCTATATTAATGATCATGGAACGTCGAGAACCTTATCAGACGGTACGCCAGCTAAGAAAATTTACCTGAAAAGCAAGTTCAACCGATTTGTTGAAAAAGAGATGAAATACGCAGATCAACGACGTCTCGCGACCCCGTCAAAAGTAAGTGAAAACGCTCGCGTATTAAAACGTGTTTACATTGACGTACGGACAACGAGTTTACGTAATCCAATAGTTGAACGACTGACAATTAATTATCTTCTCAATAGATTTTACATTTTTATAATGCACCGTTGGATATTTGCGCCAAAAAGATGCATAAAGTGGTGACGGACGCCCTTGGTTCCATGGACGCAATAAGATCCATAACCATTTGTGAGTCATTCGTCGCCAATGAATTCGTTTATAATTGAGGTCCTAATTAGATTGATTTTTTATTTTAGTGCCTAAGAAACGTCCAGATGCCAAATGTTCAACTGGCCTGATTGAAATGAAAAGCAACGAATTGGCGGTAAAAACGATTCTCTTGTTGAATCACATGCCATTTGAATCGTCAAGTATGTTTTATTTATGCTATCATTTAAGTTATAGTAATATTTTCACTAATAGGACCGGATTTTGAGTATCATAATAATTATATTCCCCTATCCCTGTGGTGTACTGGAACCCAGGACAGTTTTTGAGTTCAGTGCATGATCAATATGACTCGCGTGTGTGTACATAAATTATCTTCTACTTATAGAGTCCAGATTCCCATTTCTGACGAAACTGAGTTTCTCGAAATGGTCTGATATCCGGCAGCAGTCAACAGGCTCGTCCAAACTGCTACTGAGCATTGCGCCCTGCATTCGGAGGTCGTTTCATAATTCCGAACATGCGTCGCCCACGGTGGAGTTGGCGGTCGCGCGTACAACCCAGCAGACAACCAGTCCCGGTGGAATCTCGTGGACTTTGTGGGAAATAAGAGATGTTGTGACGGAGGCCATAGACCGCGGCACAGGAAATCTCGTACGACCAACGGAAACGTTTCAGGACCAGTTGCGCGTGACGCACTGCGATAACCTCGCAACATAGTTGTAAACTTTGCTTTCTGTTGGAAGATTTTACATTCGCCTCGTTCGGGCTTTATTTAAATAATATTCCATTAAGAACACTCCATCAACTCCGTGTAAAAAAAAAAAAAAAAATGTGATATAAGGTGGAATCTAAGTAAATGGTCTATCGTTTAAAATGTATCTATCAGTTAATTTATTCAAATTTTATAAAAATTAGTTATTTATATTAATTTATAATATGAACTATTTTAACTAAAACTAATCCAAATTTAGTTTATTTGACCGGAAACAATTTTATTTATTTTAATGGGTCCTGCATTATCTTTTACAAAAACTTCAAGACATTTCTTAGAATGAATCTTCCAGCCAAGTAAACTAAATTTGGATCAATTTTAATTAAAATAATTAATATTCATATTATTAATTAATAAAAAAAATCAATTTTATTAAATTTTAATTAATTACTGACATATACATTTTACATGTTAAACTATTTACTTAGATTCCAACTTTTATCAAACATTTTATAGCATTTTTTTTTTTTTTACTTAGCATTTTTTTACACGGAGATGTCGGAATGTTTTTGTTGGGGTATCATTATTTTTTATAAATTATCATATTGAATAATACACTGATACATTATTATACGTAATATTTTTTATTTTTTTTCCGTTATTATTATGCAAACGTCAAGACGAGGTCACCGTTCAAACTGTACAGATGTATCGTTACATCTTGCCCATTTATTTTGATGTTTTATTATTGATGTATAATTGGCTTCAGTCATAGGTTGACCATGATGGCAAATGATCGAGCTTAAAGTATAACATTTACTATCAACCGCAATATGTCATGGTGGCTTATGCATTTATATGAAGATTTGTAATTTTTGTATTCACACACTCCAAAGTTGAATTTGAAAGTACAAATATTCATGAGTATTGAGTATGTTTGTTGTCTGTGTATGGTTTGAAGTAGTATTAGAAGCACTAAAAGTTATATTTTCTATTCTAACTTCTTTAGACAGGTCGTTCAACATGGAATGCATTGTGACAATTTTTGTATGTTTTCGGTACATTAAGTTGAACTATAAAATTATTTGAAATATATACTCTGCTCTTTTTACACCTAGAGTATTTTAATATCGTTTGAAGTTGATGAAGCAAAGAATTGTGTAAGGGTTCGTATTAAGTGACGAGTGCACTAATAAACTCAGAAGCATCTTGCTGTTCTATGTTAACGGTAGGATGACCAATCTGATTTCCTATACTAGATACACTTATTTGATATACTTGTGATGTATATAAGTATGCAAGTTTTTTTAATACATTGTCATACATTTGTTTCAGTATGTGAGTACAATTGAAAATTACTTGCAAAGATGCATTTGCATAACAATATCCCTGTCCTGAATAAACCAAAACTCTATGTATAAGTCCCCATGGTTCAGCCAACATATATATCTTAACACCATACTCATGTTTTTT